GTGCTGACAGCCAGCTCAGAGCCTGGAGCCTGTTTCAGATTCTGTTTCTCCCTCTCTCTCTGACCCTCGGCGAGATGAGTGAGCAGGAGGAGGAGCTGGAGGATGGCCCCAGTGCGGTCAGAGACTATAAAGACCTGGAGAAAGTAGTGCAGTCTTTTCGGTACGATGTTATCCTAAAGACAGGCCTAGATGTTGGAAGAAACAAGGTGGAAGATGCGTTCTACAAAGGTGAATGGGGAAAAATTATGGAAGAAAAGCAGAACACCCTAATGACTTCAAGATGAAGCTTTCCCTTCGTCTGTAAAATTTTAAGACATGCCACCATCAGAACTGGCAAAAATCCCTTAGTTAAACTTCCAAGTCCCATGAAATCATAAGAGTGAAGCTGAAAAGAACAGTTGGTCCACGGAGAGGTGACTTTGGACTCCCAGATTTCTGCAGATGCGGACTTTTGTTCGTTACCCACCAGCACTTGCTAGATGCCCTGCTCTGTGCACAGCAGTGACCAGAACTGAGCCAGCCCCGCATCAGTACTGCTGCTTGGAGCCCAGAGTGCTGACTGTGCACCCTCCATACTGTTGTTAAGTGAAAGAAGTCAGTCATAAGAACATGTATTTCCAGTATCCAGTATTGTTACAATAAACTGTGTATATATACTGTTAAAAAAAATTTTTTTAATAAAATCTTTAGAGCGCCTAGGTGGCTCAGACCATTAAGCGTCCAACTCTTGATTTCGACTCAAGTCGTGACCTCACAGGTTCGGCAAATCGAACCCTGCATTGGACTCTGTGCTGACAACATGGGGCCTGCCTGGGATTCTCTCTCTCCCTCTCTCTCTCTGCTCCTCCCCTGCTCATGCTCGTGCTCTCTCTCTCTCAAAAGAAATAAACATTAAAAAAAATTTTTTTTAAAGAAGAAGAAATACCCCCCACCCCCAACAAAGGAACTGTCATTCTTTGATAGAAACTCTATGACTTGACAGGGACACCAGGAACTTGCTAATCTTCCCTCTTAAATCTTTGCTCCTCACATTTTTTCTTAAGTTTATTGATTTCTCTTGAGAAAGAGAGAGAATCCCAACCAGGCTCTACACTGTCATCGCAGAGCCCAACAAGGGGGTCCATCTCACAAACCGTGAGACCATGACCTGAGCTGACATCACAACTCAGACACTTAACCTACTGAGCCACCCCAGGTATCCTGCTCCTCATATTTCTGATTTGGGAAACTTCAAGAAGTTCCTCTCCCAGACAACAGGGCCCAAAGCCAGAATTTTGTATTTGAAGTCCTTGTTTGCCTTGCAACATGCTGGTTGCTTATAAGTTAAATAATCATAAACTGGTCGCATAGTTAAGTGACCACAGGTCAAGCAGATTGTAAATGCTAAAGTGATGAATAAGGGCTGAAGACATAAAGGAAATGTTCATAAGTGAGTTGACACTCAAGTCAGGCCTTAGCAGTATTTCTCAAAATGGAATCTGGTCTAGGCGTCACCTTCATATTAGACACAGAGACAGATGTTGGCGAGGATGTGGAGAAATTGAAACCCTTGCACACTGATGGTGGGAATGGAAATGCTGCAGCCGTTATGGAAAACAGTATGAAAGTTCCTCAAAAAATTAAAAATAGAACTATCATATGATCCAGAAATTCCACTTCTGTGTATTTATGCAAAAGAATTGAAATCGGGATATCAAAGAGATATTAGCATTCCGATATTCATTACAATGCTCTTCACAGTAAACAAGACATGGAAGCAACCTAAATGTCCATCGATGGATGAATAAAGAAAAGCAGTATATGCATACAGTGGAATATTATTCAGCCTTTTTGAAAAAAGAACTTCTGCAGTAAGCAACATTATTAATGACCCTTAAGGACATTAAGTGGAGTGAAATAACCAAGTCACAGAAAGAAAACTACTCCATGATCTCATTTATATGAGATATCTAAAATAGTCAAATTTAAGGATGCCTGGGTGACTCTGTGGCATAAGCATCCAACTCTTGGTTTCAGCTCAGGTCATGATCTCAGGGTTTGTGAGTTTGAGCCCCGCATCAGGCTCTGCACTGTCAGTGCAGAGCCTGCTTGGGATTCTCTCTCTCCCTCTTTCTCTGCCCCTTCCTCTGCTTGCTCGTTTTCTTTCAAATAAATAAATATTTAAAAATTAATAATAAAATAAAATTTAAAGATAGACAAATTTATAGAATCAAAGAGTGGAATAGTTGTTGCCAAAAAATGGGGGGAGGGGAAATGGGATTTACTAATCAATGGGCCTAAGTTTCAGTTAAGCAAGAGGAGTGAGTTCTAGAGATCTGCTGTACAGCACTGTACCTCTATTGCACACTTAAACATTTGTATTTTTCTGTATCTCATTACACATTTAAAAATGTGTTAAGAGAGTAGATCTGATGTTAAGTATTCCTGCCACAGTAAAATAAAAATTTTTAGATGCTCAGGGCACCTGGGTGGCTCAGTCAGTTAAGCACCCGACTTTGGCTAAGGTCATGATCCCAAGGTTCATGAGTTCAAGCCCTGCATTGAGCTCACTGCTGTCAGGGCAGAGCCTGCTTCAGATCATCTGTTCCCCTCTTCCTCTGCCCCTCCCACACTCACGCTCACTCTCTCTTTCTTTCAAAAATAAATAAATGTTAAACAAAAATGTTTTTAAATGCTCGAGGTCTGAAGCTTGAATGGAACAAAAAAACAATGAGACCAGTGACAAAAATGGGGCTCTCGAGAAAAGGAGCCGTTTTTGTGACAATGTACTAAGAGGGAGACTGTGAAACATCCAAGGGGAGGCACCTTTAAGTGGCAGTTGGATATAATTGATTGGAGATAAAAATATAAATAAAGTCAAGACTGAGATATTTGAAGCCAAGAACAATTCCCCTAAGAGTTTAATGAATGATCAGCTCAAGGACCAAGAATCAAGCCTTAGAAAATAGCCGCTTTTGGGGCGCCTGGGTGGCTTAGTCGGTTAAGCGTCCGACTTTCGCTTAGGTCATGATCTCGCGGTTCGTGGGTTCGAGCCCCGCGTCGGGCTCTGTGCTGAC